CCTCCCTCTGTGTCACTCCTCTCACTCACCCATTATACTAAACAGAGAGACGGGGAGAGAGACCACTGTTACTGAACCAGGTGAAGAGTAGAAAACAGGCCTAGAAAAAAGAAAGTATCTGCTGAATGGAGCTGAAAAGCAGGTAAATCGCTCAACAGAGTTGCTGAATTAGCAACAGTCAGGTGAGCTGAAGTGTGACGATCACTGCTGTGAGTTAGAGGGGGAGTCAGGGTGGCGTATTTCCCACAGTTGCTGTTTTCCACAGAAGGAAATGGAATGTTTGAGACTAGGGCTGCCACGATTTGTCGACTAGTCACGATTACGTCGACTATCAAAATCGTCGACGACTGATTTAATAGTCGACGCGTCGTTTGAAGCTTTGTACGATCACAAAAGACGCAGGAATAAGTGGCAGGATTTAAGAGTGTAATAACGGACTGAAACAGAAGATGGCAGCATTGCATGTACAAGGATGTCAGCTACAGTTAAACCCCGAAGAAGAAGAAGAAGAAGCAGCTGTGTCCCAGAATTCATAGCGCGGCCCAGCGCAGTTTCCAACAATGGCGGCAGCTAGTTAGTTTTAATGTTACTCTTATTATTCTTTCTGGGTCACAAAATAAACGTTTAACATATTTTCAGGCGAGAATGTAGCTGTGTAAACCTCAAATATCTGCTCAGTTTATCAGGACACCACATATTTTCAAAAGCGCTCCGACGTTTTCGGAGACGTCTGTTACCCACTAGCTCGATAGCGAGCCGGGGGCTAGGCTCCCTAGCACCGTGAGAACACCGGACTCCCCGCAAATCGTTTTCAAACCCACCGCCGTCTTTCACTACTCAGGTTAAATATATATGAGTCACTTAGATAACTTAAAATGTTATTGTTTGGCTTTTTATTTTTAGTATTTTATTTGTTCCTGAGTAAATCAGTTTGTCTGAGATTAAAGTTATAGTTTTTACACAGCTGAATAAACGTCAAGCAGACAGCTGATTATCAGAAGTGTGAGATGCTCCAGAATATACTCCAGTGTCCTGTTATATTTTAGATAGCAAGGAGTTTATTAAACTTCACCGAAACAATCTGCAAATTTCATTAAAATTGAATAAACTATCATCTTGTCTTTATGTTTAGTTAGCACAGACCTTAAACACTTAAAGCTGTAAGCTAATGATAGTTATATAAGAGCAGATGCTGCTGGTGCAATAAGCTGTAGTTTTACGTCTAATGGATGATGATCTGATTAGTCGACTAATCGCAAAAATAATCGGTGACTAGTCGACTATCAAAATAATCGTTTGTGGCAGCCCTATTTGAGACACGTTATCACTGGAAATAGTCTGAGGTCTACCTGAGAGTGCTCCTGAGAGCAGTGAGGCAGCACACATGACACCCAGTTATTAGCAGCTAATATATTAGACTGTTAAGGTTCTTTTATGTGGTAACCCACATGTACATGTTGTAGCTGTTTACTCTCACCAAAGGGCAGAAAAACTTGCAGTGAAGTGAAACAATGTGTAAAACAATGAAAACTGTCCAGCAGCCACTTTCTGTGCTTCTGTCAGCCCATCTTTTCTCTGACAGGTTGCCTGAAAAACAGCCACATCACTACCTTTCTGAAATATACTCTTCCAACTGCTCCCCAAGCCATGTGCTGCTGGCTGTGCGACCTCAGCTCTTTGTTGTTGCCTCCAGTCTGGAAAGCACAAAGCCCCACTCAATTCTGCTCGTATGTGTGGTTATCCCATTTTCCAACATGGCCTCCCGTCATCCCATTGTGAGTTTCCAATATCTGTAGTAGAGATGGCACGATACCACTTTTTTTTTATGTCCAATACCGATATCATAAATTTGGATATCTGCCGATACCAATATGAATCCGATATAGTGTGTTTTTTAATCAATAAAACAGTTTTTTTAATATCTTTCTGCATTTTGTATAAGTTCATACTCAAGTTTAAATAAACAACAACACTAAAGCTATTCTGTTATACCTGTATGTAAAAAAATACACTGCACCCACAATATTTCATAGTTCAGCAATACTGATCAATCTAATAAACTTAAACCTGCACCATCCTCCCTATTCTGGTATTTTAAAGAGTACTTAGCAGAAATATTAAGCAACCTAACTAATAGGGTTGCAAACTCCCAGCCAAAAAAAAAAATAGGGAACCTCCCACCCTCCACCTCATGATGCTTAATCGACATAATCAACTTTAATTTGATGCAGTGTGAAAAAAAATGCACAGAAATAAATTATTTTTCAAGAATAATTAAATAGATTCAACATCTTTCTTCAACAGAATTGCAGACTGCACAGATGGTACTTTCCCAAAGGAAAAAGTACTATAGCTTACTAGGGTATATTAGACTTAACAGTTACTATATACAGTAATGGACTTATATATTTTACATAAGATTAAAACTTTGGGTGTAAGATTCAGACAACTATTTATTAAAAGCTAGATATTTTAAATGAGAATAAGAAAGAAAAGTATGTCTTTGTGCCCCCTTTTCCCTGTTCATGCCCTATCGGCCCCCCTGGCTAAACTTTGCTTGATCCGCCCCTGCACAGTTACCAGCAGCCAGCTACGTAGAAAAAGATCCTGGTGGAGAAAGTAATATTAAATAAATTCTAACAACAGATTATCAAGCTTAAATGTGCTGCTGTTGTTCAGCCGCTGGTTTCCTCTTTCTGGCGCAAAGTGGGCAATAAGCAAACAAGAGAGACGGACTCCTGACAGAAAAGCCAATCAGCTGATCATTGATCAGTTTCATGATTGAAGTAGCAGCAAGAAGAGGCAGTCGCTCCATATATCGGTCGTTAAGCTTAACGTGGGAATGCTTTACAAACATTCAGAGATGCTTTACTCCTCTCTGGGATAGCTTTCTTGGAGATGAAATGCTGGTTTGGTAGCGAGGCTACAAATACCCACAGCTGCTCTATCACATGAGCGCACTGCTGCGACGTGCTGCGGTTATGAGCCGAGTTACGCCGTGTCGCAAGTTTTGTGAGGTGCTTTTTTGATATTTAATGGATTGGATTACATTTTTTATTTCTCTCCGATATCCGATCCAGTAATTTACGTCAGTATCGGACCGATACCGATAGGTAATATCGGATCGGTCCATCTCTAGTCTGTAGTTTAAATTTCAAATCCAAAAGCACCGATTCTTTCCATTTATTTCATTTTCATGGTGTTAGACTCTGAGCTCTGTAGTCAAAAAGTAGCCCATTTTAACCCCGGTGCACTTGTAACTAGGGCTGCCAGGATTAGTTGACTAGTCACGATTACGTCGACTATCAAAATCGTCGACGACTGATTTAATAGTTGACGCGTCGTTTGAAGCTTTGTAAGATCACAAAGGACGCAGGAATAAGTAGCAGGATTTAAGAGTGTAATAACGGACTGAAACAGAAGATGGCAGCACTGCATGTACAAGGATGCCAGCTGCCGTTAAACCCCGAAGAAGAAGAAGCTGTGTCCCAGAATTCATAGCACAGCCCAGCTCAGTTTCCAACAATGGCGGCAGCTAGTTAGTTTTAATGTTACTCTTATTATTCTTTCTGGGTCACAAAATAAACGTTTAACATATTTTCAGGCGAGAATGTAGCTGTGTAAACCTCAAATATCGGCTCAGTTTATCAAGACACCGCATATTTTCAAAAGCGCTCCAACGTTTTCGGAGACGTCTGTTACCCACTAGCTCGATAGCGAGCCGGGGGCTAGGCTCCCTAGCACCGTGAGAACACTGGACTCCTGGCAAATCATTTTCAAACCCACCGCCGTCTTTCACTACTCAGGTTAAACATGATATATAAGTCACTTAGATAACTTAAACATGTTATTGTTTGGCTTTTTTCAGTATTTTATTTGTTCCTGAGTGAATCGGTTTGGCTGAGATCAAAGTTATAGTTTTTACACAGCTGAATAAACGTCAAGCAGACAGCTGATTATCAGAAGTGTGAGATGCTCGAGAATTTACTCCAGTGTCCTGTTATATTTTAGATAGCAAGGAGTTTATTAAATTTTAATGAAATTTGCAGATTGTTTCGGTGAAGTTTAATAAACTATCATCTTGTCTTTATTTTTAGTTAGCACAGATCTTAAACACTTAAAACTGTAAGCTAATGATAGTTATATAAGAGCAGATGCTGCTGGTGCAATAAGCTGTAGTTTTACGTCCAGTGGATGATGATCTGATTAGTCGACTAATCGCAAAAATAATCGGTGACTAGTCGACTATCAAAATAATCGTTTGTGGTAGCCCTACTTGTAACTATGTGTCAGATTTACTTGCCTCAACTTCAACAAGCGGCCCAGCAGGTGCCTCATGTTGGTCTTAGTCATCATGTGGACTGTGACTCTCACTAAAGTTCCCCTAAAGGCCATGTGAGTAGTGTTGCCCTTCTTGCCCTTCTAAAGTCTCCCTTTACCCTCTGCTCTTACCTTTGGGAGTCATTATTCTCAACTTTGGCTCCAATAAAGTAAAGAACTAATTTTTCATGTAGTAAACATCATCCACTGCTCCACAAAAGCTGTGTGGGGAGAGTCAGACTCAACCGTGAGTCACAGAAAAATGTGCCACAGCCTGAAGCAATGATCATGTTTTCTGTAACACTGCAACTCCTGTCATGATTGGTTCAGAACCTTTTGCCAGTGAGTTGAATAAGAATAAGTTACTCCATTATTTTAAATTTGAAGCACGTAATGAAAGTAAACTAACAGCTTTGGATTTTGTGGTTCATAAAACTTTAAATACTGAAAGTCCATAAGTGATGTTGCCACTCCATCTGAAATGTGAGAACCTTGAGTTTGAGTCATTTGAACCTCGTCTTTACATGAACACACTTTAATATACTTTGTTAATCACAGAGGAGCTGTTTTCTAAACTAAACCACATCTAAAGTAATTCAAATGAGCACAACCTTGAAAATGTGCTGTAGTAAAAAAAAGCAGCGTTCATAGTAAAGCGGTTACATTATTCCCTACGTTGTACCCAAAGCTTTTGGAGGTGGTGGGCACACAGAGTCCACTAGCATCTTCAGATGACTTTAAGAAACCTGGATGAGATAATTTAGAAAAATCAGATCATGCAGGAAATCAGACATCATCATTTACTACACGTACTGCATAATCCCATTTTCCAAGACACAAGCTGCTACTTCTGGCTATTACACAGCAAAAATGCCAGTGTTGATTTTTCAGTGTTAGTAGATTTCAACAGAGTTCCGAGTTAGTTCAACACTTAATCGAGTTAAAATAACACATCGGGAGTTGATTCCTGAAAAGTGTAAGTGTAGATTTTAGTCGTTACTGCATTTTAACACTGTGGGTGTTAAATTAGACCACACCTTCATTTCCTGTGGAGCTTCGCAATCCAGAATCTTCGGTCGCCATTTTTTCTTGCTGATGCGGTAAGTTTTATTCGGTTAAATATTAAGTTTTAGATTGATGTTAGAACAAGTAACATGATAACTAGTAAAAGAAATAGTATTTATATCAAATACATCATTTTTAAGTGTCATATTTGAATTTTAACTGTTTTTGTTAAGCTGGGCTACTGCTAGCTAGAACTCTGCAAAGTACCAGTTTCTTTCCTAATATTCATTTAGCATATTCTGGCTATTGGCAGACTGTAATGAATATTACATGTTAATATATTTCACAGTTTTTATTAAATGCCTTTTATTTTCGAATTAAACTGCCAAAGCCTTAGGGTCAGTGGTCTCAAACTCGCGGCCCAGAGGCCACTCGTGGCCCAAAGCCCACTTGCGGCCCACGTCAGGTGAGGTGAAGAAGTATAATGCAATTTGGCCCTTAAAGTGACTTTTTTTTGTCATTAGCCAAAAATGATTTAATATAAAGGCAATGAGGGCAGAGTGTTACCGGCCCTCATGGGTAGTGTAGTCAGTGCTGCGGGGAGAACGTGTGGAACTGCCCCTCCCGTTGTGTGTTTGAGCGCGAGAGAGGGAGAAAGTATAAGCTGTTACTGATGAGAAATGGAAGAAGAGAGCATGTAAATATAATAATAACCACTGCCGCCAAAATGAGTGCCTGGTTGTAAGAAAGCTGTTAAGATTCGACTGTACACTGTGTTCGCTGACAGTAAAGCTACAAGCCTGACAACCCAGCGTATTGGCCAGAGGTGTCATTACCACGGTTCAGAGCCGCGGACCTGGCCGAGGTAACAAGAGAGTACAAACATGTGGAGGGATTGGCTTTGTTAGCTCAGTGAGAGTCAAAAACTAATGTGTACACTTATTTCTGCATTTTTATTTTGTTAAATATGAATAAAATTACAGCAGAAGTGCTGCAAAGTGTCTGACCAGAAAGAGAGGACCATAGTGTTAATTTGGTAGTTCAATTAAAGGTATCGGTTAGTTAAGAGGGAGAGGGGGGGATGCGTTCATATTTGCAGTTTTGTCTTGTTATACAATATTTGAAATTTAAAAACGAACAAACCAAACGCTACATTGTCAGGAATATTTGTGGGTGTTTTCTTTCTTTCTTTCTTTCTTTCTTTCTTTCTTTCTTTCTTTCTTTCTTTCTTTCTTTCTTTCTTTCTTTCTTTCTTTCTTTCTTTCTTCTTGAACACTGAAGTAGCCCTCCAATAAGATGACAGCTCATTTAAGTTTGAGACCCTGCCTTAGGTGAACTAGGATGCTTAAGGGTAACCTGAGAGTATTTTTACACTATAATGGCCCCTACATCTTGTAAATTGTGGGAATTTCATTATAGTGCGCATTTCTGTAGCCAGTAGGTATTTTTCTTTTTCTTTTTTTTCTTTTTTTAGATTTCCTTTTTTTGTGGTAAATTAAGCATTTTCTAGTCTAAAATGAATAACATGGTTATATTAGGGTTTGTTAGAGAGTGGGGAGGGTTTTTATGGCTTAAAATATATTAAAAATAACAAAATAGAAATATGGTTCCTACTAACCCCTGTGATAGTTGAGAGAATACTGTATTGCAGTCATGTTACACAGCTTGTACTACTTAAAAAATGGATCAAGGATGTTTTTCTTAACAAAATTAATTTTAACTCAGTCTAAAGGGACTAGACATGCTAGATATTTTGCAAAGAAATGGTGTTATATGCTGGACCTTATTTTACTCTTGGCAGGTGGTGATATGCTGGTTCCCGAGAAGAGATGAACTAATCAAAGTCAGCTTTTCAAGACAGCCCCAAGACTCTTCGCAAATTGTGTTCAAATGTGAGGCCGTTGTCAGGTGATAAATGCAAGGAAGAGGCACTCAACTGACATGAAACATGTCAAAGACAACATGAAGGTGACATTTCAACATAGGCAAAAAGTGGTTCAAGAACCTGCCATAGCTTCTACTGTCCTGGACCTTTTCCCAAGATTTCTGGATACACCTGGCTTGGTAAGGCATAAAATAATTTAATGACTGCTTTGTGGTTCCTTTGTTTGTTTTCTTGTTAATGTGTTGTTTCTGTTGTTACACTTTGTGTTTAAGATTGACCAAGACTTCACAATGCTGTTTTTTTGGGGAGGAAGTGTCTGGTAAGTTCCTTGCAAAGTGGCCAACATTCTTCAAGCCAAGGATCATCAAAGATTGCAAAAATCTGTCCCAGAGTACAGAATTGGATGAGCTGCTCATTTCTGCACAGCGTTACTCTAACGAGGCTGGTAAGTGTAAGTTGGAAATGGTAGATTTTGCATGCCTTTACAGCATTTGCTTAATTCCCACAACACAATATATCACTCATTTCTGTATGGTATGAAAACAAGCTTACAAACATGTTAAACCTGAAATGACATTTAATGTAGTTTGAACACAAAAAAAGTTACATAATCTTACTATTGTTATGACTCGATATCTACTTCACTTGGTGGCCAGAAGATTTTAAGTCTCTAGAAATGAATTTTTATACCAAGGCGCTGGAAAACTGCCTTATTAGAAAAATTATCAGGTGTCTAAAATGTCATCATGGTATTACATAACGTGGAAAAATGACTGCTGTGGTCCTTTAAATGACAGTAATTGTGATGATCTTAATTTCTATTCTGTAGTTTGGGACTGCGAGGCGGCTGCCATCTTTTGCTGCTTCACTTCACTCCAACATCTAAGGGAAGGACGTCTTCAAAGATTAGCACATCAGATGCTGCTCACCACCTAATGAAATTCATCAAGGTATGCTTTTTAGAATTGTATATTTCTCTTTTGATGAGAACAGATGCAAATTATCAACGGCTGATATTTTAAGATGGCAAGGTGATCCAACCTGCAGCAGATGTATCTATCCCAGACAAGCTTGGTGTTGCAGGACTGACATGTCATTGTTTCTATTAAAACTAAATGTACACATTGAAACAAAAATAATTGTGCGCGCGGAGTGAAACATTTTAATATTGTCATAATTTCAAACAGCAATGCCTCAACATCAGATTATCAATTTTGTTTAATGTGAATCACTTGGTTTCTTTCTCTCCCTCAGGTGGGAGGTAGCACAGAGGCTTTTCTTAAGGCTGGCCCCACTCAGCCATTCGTCCTGTGGGTTGGAGAAAGAAAGAACATCATCCAAAGTTTCTACCCAAAGTTTCTACATTGTCCTAGATCAAAAGGTCATTCCCTGTGTGACACAGATGGGAGATGCAGGTTTTGACAAGGCAAAACTTTTCAAGGCACATTTTTTAATTTGCCGTGTCCTTTGATAAGGCATTGGACAACTTCTACACATTCATCCAGACCATCAAGTGTATGGCATTGATGTTAGCAGCGTGAAGGACAGTCCTCGGGTCAATGAAACAAGAGGAAGTCTTCACTGTACGGTTTAAAGATATCCACTATTCAGCACTTTGACTGGAAATGTTCATCTGTTACATTTGCAAGATACACCACACAAGTTGCTCAGTGTTATTTAGACATTTGAAGTTCCAGCATGGTTTGTACCCAGGAAAGTTTTTACGTTTGACCTGTGGAGAGCCATGTGAGAGTTCATTTATCTTTCACACGTACTCTGGTTACAAGCGGCACTTATTCCGAGCACATGGAGACTGCGTTCACTCTGAGGTCATCAACAATTTTGAGCCTGTACCTAACGATGGAACCTCTGTTTCACAGCCTGTAAATGTGGCTCATCCCATGACAATAACTACACCGGTTCCAGTTGAAAAAAGGCAAATACTGAACATGTGCAGCTCTGTTATTGCTCAAGTACAATCATCAGGAGTTCCTGAAAGTACTATACAGTGTTTAGTTGGTTCATTGGAGGAACTGGTTAATGACATCCATGCACATGCAAAACAATCTGTTGTCGACTGTTTGTCAACTGATGCATCAAGAGAAACCTTAGAAAAAGTTGAGGATTGCTTTGATCAGCTTGAAAATCCATTTTTATGTCTTAACACAGAATCTAAAAGGATAAGATATTTTGAGCAAAAATGGAAAATAGTTGAACCCATAGAGCATGTTCTTGGTGTGCGTTTTGATGTACGCAAAGATAGAACAACAGGGACATACAGGCAAGTTCCTGTCAATGATAAATTCATGTACGTTCCTATCATGGGATCCCTTTCATCTATGTTTCGAAACAGTGAACTTTGTAGCAGTTTCCAGAAAAAAAAACTAAACATGGAGGGATTGTACAGAGATTTAAATGACGGCTCCTACTTCAAAAATCACAGTTTATTCTCACAACAAGAACATGCTCTCCAGATCCAGCTCTACTATGACGATTTTGAAACTGCTAATCCTTTAGGCTCAAAAAAGGGAGTGCACAAACTTGGTTGTATTTTTTTGTTTTGAGAAATTTGCCACCAGAGTTAAATTCTGTGTTGATGAACATTCATCTTGTAGCCCTTTTTCATTCAGAAGACTTAAAAAAATATGGGTTTGATCCTATCCTAAAGCCACTTGTTGATGATCTAAAGATTTTAGAGACTGAAGGAATGCAAGTGCCCTTTTCAGCCACACCTGTGAGAGGTTCGCTTTTTCAGATTACAGGTGACAACTTGGCTTTACATAGCATTTTTGGTTTTGTTGAATCATTTAGTGCAAACTATTGTTGTAGATTTTGTTTAACTGATAAGACAGAGTTGCAGTCAGTTTTTAGTGAAGATCATGTAGGCTTAACACTGCGTTCCAAAGAACTTCATTACAAACACTGTGGTGCCATTCAACAAAATCCTGCTTTGGCCTCAACATTTGGTGTAAAAAGAAATTGTTTACTCAATTCACTTCGGCTGTTCCATATTTCAGACAACTATGCTGTAGACATAATGCATGATCTACTAGAGGGAGTGGTGCAGTATGAGTTAAAGCTTGTGTTTCAGTACTTGATTAAGACCTCTTTGATATCCTTGAATTCATTGTCACAGAGAATTATAAGCTTTAACTACGGATATGCACAGAGAAGGAACAGGCCAGGTGGGCTAAAACTGGATGACAACAGCAAAGATCTTGGGCTTAATGCTGTGCAGATGTAACCCACATAAAAATAAAAAGAACTGCACCTATAACTAAATCGGAATTTTAAATTCCAACCGGAGCGTGTCCGTGAAGGCATCGTGACGCGTCGTGACGCACGCCACGCCGCGAGTCTGCACGTGCCTGTTGTGACCAATCACATTCGCGAGGCACCGATATATGCCTTCCGGGTTGTCGTCTCGAAAAGACGCGGGGGAGAGGCGTTAGCGGATGGAAGCAACAGGTACGTGGGGTGAGCGCTTTTCGCTGTTTACTATCTTGACTTGTTTTTGAATTAATTGTGGATTGCGTTCAACAGTATTTTGATACCGCCGCGGGTAGATGCGTGGGGGCTCGTATGTGACATCGCACGTAGTGAATGGTGAGTTGAGCCTGAATGTCTGTTTGTATTTGTAACCTGTATCAGTATGCCAGTGCTATCAGCTGATGGGATAGCTAAGGCTGAGGCCTACTACATTACTACTACTCTCACTTTACGTGGCTGTAGTTTTGTTATTTGAGATTGTTATTTATTTTAATTTATTACAATGGTTGGATATGTATTTGTTGTATATTGGTATTTTCTCCTGAACTTTATTGTGTACACTGGAACTAAAGCTAGCTTGGGAAATTTAGATGAATTTTGCTAATAGTGGTCCTGTGATTATAGTGCAGGCTAGTGGTGCCCTGGAGAGACCACAGCAACACCACTACCTTGGATGGCGAGCTAGGCCCAACGAGCCAGAACCCCAGCTACAACTTCCTGCGGTCTGGTAGGAGGCTGCTGCGGCCTACACTCTCCCCCCCTGGTTTTCAGTCCCCCAAATCTTACTTTTGAGATCTCAGTCTTGGAATCTCAGTTCTGATCATCACACTTCCAATTTCAACCTGTTACAGACTGTCATACGCGTTGGACTTATATCAATTATGAAATAGCAACTTTATGGACATTGTCTGCCGGGGGTTGGAGGAGGTTGCTGCACCACTGTGCAGCGGATACTTTACAAGCTTGAATTATGTTTTATCTTTTCCTGTCTGCAGATTTGTAAATATTGGTATTTGGTAATTGCACTTTATTTTCACTATAAATAATAACTGTAATCACAATATCTGTGGTTGTATATTTATTGTACTTCACTCACCTCCTAGAGCCGAATCTGATATCTTCTGAATTAGCCCAACTACTCATAACCAACATAAATTATTTTAGCTTATGTACTTGCTACACAGTCATGGTGTCTTTTGCGGAATAGCCCATTGATTTTTGGAGATATCGTTTGCAGAAATGATGGACATTGGAACTTGCTACTTTTGTTAGTTCAAATTGTGAACATTGTTTTTTCACCCATTATAACTCATGGCATGACTTGCTATTTGAAACATCTGATTGCCGATCATCACAAGGCTTTCAAATCTCTCTTTCCAGAACGGAATTTGATTCCAAAGCACCACCTAATGATCCATTACCCACGCTGCATTGGAAAAATTGGGCCACTCATACATATGTGGTGCATGAGATTTGAAGCAAAGCACAAGTTCTTCAAAAGATCTGTAAAGAACTTTAAAAATATCACAAAAACACTAGTAAAAAAACATCAGAATCAATTAGCCTTTCATTTTGAAAATTTTTATTTTAAAAGATTACAGTTCGGCCCCATTAATGAAGTCTTGGCCAGCAGCTTAAAAGGCAGTGAAGCACTGAATAAAATGTTTGATGTTTCTTCTATTGTTTCTACAACTTCCTGGGTCAAAAGTTATGGTACAGAATATCAAGTTGGGATGTATGTTTGTTCTGGTGTTGAAAATGAGATGCCTTTGTTCAGTAAGATTGTCAGTATAATTGTTAGCGATTTCAATACTTATCTTCTAACTTGTAAGGTCTCAACAGTATATTTCAATGATCACTTAAATGCATTTGTTATTGAGGATGGATTAGATGTCTTTGCACTGATCTCTGTAGATGATCTGGTGTACTATAGACCTTATGATAGGCAATTTTCAAATGGCACTGATGACAAAATGTACATTGTCCCATACTGTAATTTTGTATGACTTGTTTACTTGTGGTGTATCTGAATACAAAGTATTTTGGAACGTTAATGTCTTGTATTTCTTTGTAATGGGTGGATGTTGGGGGTTAATTGTAGCAGTAGAGATATCAGAGATTAATGGGAGTTTATTGTAATCTGGTGGTATTAATGATTTGACTGACACTAGTGTTAGTGTTAGAAAATTAACACTATTCAGAGTTGAATTTTTTAACACCAGGGCTAGTGTAAAGTACCACCAACACTATTCGGTGTTAATTTTTAACACTTAACACCAGTGTAGAATATTTTTGACACTGGTCAGTGTTACTCAGTGTTAATTTTTAACTCTGTGCAGTGTTAAAATAACACTAGCTCGTTGTTAAAAATATAACACTTTGAAAAGTGTTAATTTAACACTCAAAAGAGTGGACACATATAGACACTTTTCTAGTGTTAAATTTAACACTCACAGTGTCAATTTAACACTGGCGATTTTGCTGTGTACAGTTTTCATATGTACTTCAGTGTAACCAACAACAGTGACTGAGCAGAGTGTGTAGTAACAGCAGGGATATAGACAATGGACCAGTTATTTAACAAATCTAACATTCATGAAACAATTATATTCACTGAACGATATACAGACATGCACAGGGAAAGCTATATACATATTTAAGAATCCGTCTTATCCTTTGAGAACCAATAATGTCGATTCCCTCATGTTAAAATTAGAAATCCCCCAAAATGTTACAGTTAGTGCTCTTTGTAAATAATGTTTTTAGACAGAGCTGATGTGCTTCTGCTCCTCCCTAAACATCTGCTGTCATTGAAGATTAATGCAAATATTTTCTATATATGAATCAGTCCCAGACAAACGACACACACAAGGACATAAGAATTATAAACAATTAGACTCCATTTTATTTTCTTCTTTGTTAATTGATACTATTTATCTATTTTTACACCACATAAGTAAATTATACATGTAGTTGGATAATCTGTGTTTAAAATGGTCAAAATTCATCGTTAAAAATTGGTTTCAAGACCTAAAATACACCTGAGGGCTTCTAATAAGTTCTTCTTTTGTTAGTTTCAAATATCAGTGATATTAAAATATGTTGGCCAACACTGCTGCTGTCAGTATTCATGCTGCATGAATTCATCCTTACATGTGCATTTGAGCTTTATTGCAGTAACAGGAGTATGGCAGCCTGTGTCAAGCGTCCCTTTGAAGTTGCTCTCTAAAAGTGAGATCTTGCCTCAAGTTTCATGTAAGCAGGATAACATTAGGGAAGTTTACAAAGCCGTACAAATACAGCGTTATTTAAATAAGCAGTGCAGGGTGTTGGTTGCTGCCGTGGATTCAGTGCAGCCCTCCAGCTCAAGTGCAGATGGGATTTGCCAAAAATGCAGCCTCCAGTCAAACACTGTCCCTGCTGTTATTCCAATGAATCCGTAACTCTGACTGTAACCATCTGCATGGTTAGCATGGCTTACAGCACTTACGTGTATAAAACTTGATATCAAAAGAAAGTCATTTTCTTTGTTACTCACAATTGATAATCATTTGTAAAGAGGAGGCTGAGTGAAGTCCAGGTGTGTCTGATGGGTGTCAGAGTGCTAGCAGAGTGGATATGATGCATTTTAATGACATGGCCAATAGGGGTGGGCGATATAAACGATATACGATATACAGTAAACGATAGAGATTTTGACTATACCGCTCTATAGAGATTGACAGACCACGTGACTTTCGTGCATTGCATGCCGGGAACTCGTGGCAAAACAATCCAAGTACCGCATCAAATGCAAGCATTTGCAGCACCGCAAAACGTTCATTCTCCGGTTCCAATAAATTCTTGGTTTTTCTTTGCCTCCCAAAAAGGATATGTACAAAACGAAGGAGAACAATGCCGGTCCGTACAAAGACAGACTTGATGAAAAGTCAATAATATTGTATGCTGTAATCGTACTGGGCAATTAGTGATACAAAAAAACACGTTTTACCCTGTGAATAAAAATATATGTTTTTGTCAATGTACCATGGTAATAAATTAAGCAAAACGCAATATTGTGTCAGGACAATTCACTATTTATGCACAATAAACAAAGGAGCATAACGTGACAATTTCTGTTCAGCGCCAGACTTGCTTGTAACCTATATCACCAATTATGTTATGAAAAATGACGTATTAACTACTACAAAACACTGACCTTTGTGGAAATGCTTGGAGCAGACTAACATGTGAGCTTGAGTGTTCTGGGACGTTATATTTGGTCTTTGAATGGCTGCAATCCAGGCCATCCGTCGGCTCTTTGTTACTTCGTAAACATGGCTTGAACAATTTCTCTTCAACGACGTAATCCGATAACAACCGATCTCTTTACCTGTCGGCTTCCCGTGGCTGTCATGCGACCGACTATTGCAGTTAATAATACAACAGCTTCTTGCCAATTTTTGTGTTTCTATTTATCGCTGTGTAACTGATTTCAATTGAAAGTCTGCGTGCGCTAGTACCTCTTGCCACGAGTTCCCAGAATTCTTTGCGGTTTTACCCCTGAATGATGTCACATTTTCAATCTCTATCCGGTTGTTCAGTCTGACGTCACTAGCCGTGTCTGGACCTAAACTCCGCTGCAGGTCCATATATCAAACGATCACTATGGCATTACTGAGAGTTGAAAAACTGTCTAAAGTCTTTCATCTTTAATGAAGTGATCAGCGTTCTGCCCTACCAGGTGTAACAATTGAGTTTAACATCCAGGCATCCATGAAAACGGAATTTATGACATTTAACGGAGTTAGAAGTTAGCTCGCTAGCTTCTATCTAAATACAATATAGCATGTCCTGACTGCGGAGTTTTGGAAACAAATTAAAACGTACAGCTCTGTTATCACTTCCAGCATAAATGAAGACAGAAAACTAAACAGCAGGGACGTTTGTAGGGTTACTGAAGTTGGGCTAGCTGGTATATAATGATGTGCTACGTGACCGCTAGCGACACAGCTATGTCAGCATAATATAAACAAGCTAACTTTTTTTTCCACTCGATAAAAGTTAACGTGAGTGTTCTCAGTGGTCAGGAACAAATGTAATCGCATGGCAGGATGCTGTAAAAGGACCAAACTTCAGCCAGGAGAACAACTGAGATAATCCATCCACAATACGAGGTTAGTCATTCATATACTGCTGCATGGGCTGGGCTGTAGTTACATCCTAAGGTTTTAAAAACTGATCAATAAATGATTAGCGGTAATAAAAGCCGAGGGAGGTCAACAGTGATCACTGACTGTTTTAGGAGCTTTTTGAGATTAAATAGAAGAAAATACAAATACATAACATTAAACATGTTAACAACACAAAAGCCATATTAAACGCAGACTACTTTAGGCCTGGAAGTAGGATTCGTCACGTCATCACTGAACAATCGGATAGCGATAGTGCATGTTGATGATGTCATAAAGCTGCGCCTGTTTTGGTCGAAAGCATTGCAGTGGCTACAACCATTATCATCTGCAAATTATGGCGGGCGACAGTCATAGCAAAGAGATGAAGCACTTTTGAAATATGGGGAAAGCCAAAAACTGCGCTTCCTCCACTTCCGTAACATTGATTCATTAATGTTGAATTCTCTCGCAGCTGCTCTATTCCCATGTTGTTGCAGTATCTTAATAACTAACCTCGTATTGTGGATTAATAATCTCAGTTGTTCTCCTGACCGAAGTTTGATCTGTGTATAGCATCCTGCTATGCGACTGCATTTGTCCCTGACCACCAGAATCCCTCACGTTAACTTTTATCGAGTGGAAAAAAAGTTGGCGTTCATCCTCCAGCTTCACTGTGCTAATGTTATGCTAACATAGCTGTGTCGCTAGCAATCACGTAGCACATCATTATATACCAGGTAGTCCAACTTCAGTAACCCTGCAAATGCCACTGCTGTTTAGTTTTCTGTCTTCATTTATGTTGGAAGTGGTAGCAGAGCTGTACGTTTTAATTCGTTTCAAAAATCTCTCAGTCAGAACATGGTATGAAATGTTTAGGTTTAAACTAGCGAGCTAACTTCCTGTTAACTTCTAACTCCGTTAAATTGAATAAATTCTGTTTTCATGGATGTTAAACTTAATTGTTACACCTGGTAACGCAGCAACACTGATCATTTTATTAAAGATGAAAAAATTCAGACCGTTTTTAACTCTTAGTGTTCGTTTGACTTTGGGACCTAAAGTGGACGGAGTTTTGGACCCACATTACTCCGCGAAGCTCCTCACTACCGCAGCCGTAATGCTCTGACAATCCATCAAACAGTGCGACTTACCAAAGTTGTACTAAAACATTTTTTAACAGATTTCTGCACGCCAAAATTGGTTCGACGCCAGTAAACACAACCAGAATTCATACATAAGGCACAGTCTCGATTTTTGAGAAAATTAAAGGATTTTAAGTGTGCCTTATAGTGTGGAAAATACATTTATCAGAAGAAAAGAATATATCGCGATATATATCGTTACCAAAGCACATGCTTCAAATTATATCGCGATATGAATTTTAAGCCATATCGCCCAGCTCTAATGGCCAACCTTATCCACCTTAGCGGCTGCAGTCGCCAGCGGCAAGTCAATAGTCATCTTTATTATCAGTTGATAATGACATGTCCATTATTACAAAGTGGGGAGTAAACATGTATCTTATTGAGATTGCTTCTAGATAACTGCATCGACATGACCAATTATTTTTCTGTCAGTTGGCTAATCGATTAATCGATTACACGTGTAGCCAAAGACCCCTGTGAGATTCCTGGGTTGTTGGAACGGAGGTCAGGTGGGCGTATTTTTATTCCCAGGGAATAGATAGTCTTTGTTCCAGTTCATACGTGGCAAAAAACATCTTTCTGAGAGAAATCTGGCAAAAGCAGGTTTGTGTACTCTCCAACAGGAAGTAGCTCTCTTCTACGTGTGACATAATTTTAGAAAACCAGGAGTTACTAAACCTAATGGCTGCTGTTTTGAGCACGCATAGTGTGTGTAGATCTTCTGCATATAACTGTGAACTAAAGTTTCTCTTTAAA